GAGAGAGAGAGAGAGAGAGAGAGAGAGAGAGAGAGAGAGAGAGAGAGCATGAATGTCAAAAGTTTGATACCGTATAATTGAAGGTGAATTGTGTTGTCCTTCAGGACATCCGTTAAAATTGGAACAATACAGAGACTGTAGTGGTTAAGAGACTCGGCTCTTGAGGCTGAGGGCGCTGGTTCGAATCTGTGCTTGCACAGGGGAGGTTCTGTGGCTGATAAAGTACAGACTGTACTTCAACCGGGTAACCAGCCCGGAAATTATACCTGGATGTGGTGGCCCGTGGATAAAACTGTTGGATAAGCAGTTGTGMTGGATGAGAGCGGAGTGTGCGACTACTGCCTGTGTGGCGGATGCCTTGTGTGGTGTTGTGTGTGTGTGTGTGTGTGTGTGTGAGTTGAAGGACACTACAGCCGTGCAGGGGTGGGGTGGATATCACGACTGGCATGGATCCACTTTTGTACACCTTGCCATGGCTGTAGTGGTTACGAGACTCGGCTCTTGAGGCTGAGGGCGGCGGTTCGAATCCGTGCTTGCACAGAGGAGGTCCTGTGTCTGGTACAGTACAGACTGAGGATTAGCATGGCCCCTGCACAAGCAACCAAAAAGGAAAAAAAACGAGGGTGAATTGTGTTCAGGGGATGACGTCAGACGTGGTTTAAATATTGATGTTTGTGAAAGGGATGAGTGCTTTGTCATTCGTCTCTTATCCGCTCCGTGCTCAACGCCCTCGTTTTTGCCGTGGAGCGTTCCTTCCCTTTTGCCTGCTTGTGGTCATCTTCATTGGCTTTCCTCTCTGCCTCGTTTGCTCCCTCCTGCTTGTAGCTCTCCACTCGGTTCTGCGCAACAAAGTGAGATTTATTGTCGCCTTCTTCCCTGTTGTCTGGAAGTAGGTAGGTGCTTTGGGACTTCAATTCTAGTGGGTAGCTGTGTTGTCTGGAAGTAAGTAGGTGCTTTGGGACATCAATTCTAGTGGGTAGCTGTGTTACTGATGTTGAGGTGTTGACACCGTTGGGGGGGGAAACGGGTTTTTGGCCAATTCAGGAAAGAACTTCTGGCGCTGTGTGAGGCGCTGCCAAGAAAGGGGTGTGTGGGAGTCTTCAGGCAGAGGAGGGTTAATAATTTCTCGGTAAGTGCCACTTTGGAAATCACTATGCGTAAAAACGAAAGAAAAATCCATGTGCAAAAAGTGCAAAAAAATTGTTGCCATCCGTAGTTTAAAAAATAAAATAAAAGGGATCGACCATGTAGTTATGGTCTGACAATCTGGCTGACCGTGCTGAGATAATTAGACATCTGATGTTTGGAAGTTGGAACTTTTTTTTTTTTTTTTTTTTTTTTTTCCGAACTGCTACTTTGGAAATCACTATGCGTAAAAAAGGAAGAAAAATCCATGTGCAAAAAGTGCAAAAATATTGTTGTCATCCGTAGTTAAAAAAAGAAAAAGAAAAAAAAAGGGATCTGCCATTTAATTATGGTCTGACAATCTGGCTGACCGTGCTGAGATAATTTGACGACATCTGATGTTTGGAACCTTTTCTTTTTTTTTTTTGGAACTTGGGACACTGCATGTGGTGATGTATGATCTGATAGATTCAATATAAAGGTATTATAAACTATTTAATATATTTATTAGCTGTGTAGCACACCGAACATGTTTGGCGCCCCACCGAGCAGCCAAACGTGTTCGGACGCTAGGCCGAGCGGGAACCGAACATGTTCGACCGAGCGCAAATTAGGGGGCTGCCGAGCGCGTCCTCATGTGTGTGTGGTGTGTGTGGGGTGTGTGTGGGGTGTCTGGGTGTGTGTGTGTATGCTGTGTATGTGTGTGTATGTTCAGGAGTGATGAGCGGTGCCCCCCATGGCCTGCCAACCCCTATATATATATAAAATAAATAAAGAAAAAAAAAAAAAAATTGTTCGGGCTCGTCGCTTTGGGCCACGTTCGGGCTCGGTACCGAGCGTTCGGGTTCGGTCACTGAGCCCGAGCGCAATGCTACGCAGTTTATTAGTATAATTATCTAGGTTACCAGAGTGGCCCGGGACCAGTTGCCCGGCCGGGCCAAAAAAAACAAAAAAGGACACTATTTTTTTATTTTTTATTATTAATTCGGTAAAGAATTTCGATGTGACCCTGTGGCAAAAGAAGTTGTTCAGTTTATTTTTCTGCAAAACATAGTTTTTTAACTTTTTTTTCAGTTTTTTTAACTTTTTTTCCAGTTTTTTTTTTTTGGGGGGGGGGGGGCTGGGACCTTCTTTGGCCCTTTTGCACGGCCGGGCTACCCAGGCAAACAAGGCGATCTGGGCGGCCCGGCTGGTAGCCTGGATTATTATATTATTATGTGTTAATTTGTTAATAACAACGATGTTATTGTTTTGGATAAGAAATATGTGTTGATGGCTCGGATGATTTTCCTAAATTGGGCTTTGTCAAGACTCAATAGACACCGTGCGTCCCTTTCGGGATATCCGTCAAAACCAGAACAATACAGAGAATGAAGATTAGCATGGCCCCTGCACAAGGATGACATGCATAAATTGAGAAATGTTCCAAATTGGCAAATTTTCCTTTTTTTTTCCTTTTTTTTTCCTCCAGAAACAGGTCCGTATGGCCCTGGCTCCAATTGAGAAATGCTCCAAATTTTCCTTTTCTTTTTTTTTCTTTTTTTTTCTTTTTTTTCCTCCAAAAACAGGTCCTCACGGCCCTGGCTCCATTTCCATTCTGAGGATCGTCACTCCTGTGCCTATTCCCCCGGCAAGTCACACTAATATAATACATCGTGTACACCCTCACGCTTCCTTCCTTCCGTCTGGCCGAAGGACTCCTGACCCGCATTGGTTGCTCCCGCATCGTGGACGATTGACTGTCAGCTTGCCTTACTTCTACCTTTCCCCTCAGGTCGGCTGCATGAACCTGCCAGATTGGTCGTCAAGAACAAGAAAAATTTATACAAAGTTACAAACTATAAGGAAGATGTCGTCTGAGAGTTTTCCGTTCGAGATTATGTGGCCTGTGATGGGTCTTGTCCATCTGCTGACTGACATCTCTTCCTTCTCCACCCCACTTCTGAATTGTGTCAATCTTTCAATCCTATGTGAGCATCATTTCTCTCTCCGCGCCTTTGCCCCCTGCCAGCCACACCGTAGTAAATAGGTTTTGCCTGAATTCTCCTCTGTTCATCTTCCCTCCTCATCTGGCATGGACCGTCTTGTCTTATATCACTTGCGAAGAACTCTGCCTGTATCAAAGTCTTTGTCTCCTCCGCCCTCACCTTCTCCCTTGGAGTTTAAACTTTAAAGTCCCTCAACGGTTCTGCAGCACCTTGCCTTCCAGATAGACCCTGGCATTACCTTTCTGATCATTCCAAGCCAGGTCCTCTCTGGCTTGTGGAATCGTGCAGGGGTGGTAGTCCATAGGAGGAGGGGTTGGATGGGGTGTTCAGGTAGGGGAGTCGAGAAGGGGGAGTCCCAGAGGTCTGATGCCCCTGGCCCCTACCGTCTTCACCCGAATAGAACACCCGATCATTATAGCTGTATTCAGGGGCAACTTTCTGTCCAGATGCAGCTATAGAGACCAAGCGTTCTATTCGGGTGAAGACGGCAGTACTCTGTCGCTTCTCGATAGCGTATTAGGCAGTAAAGCATGTCAAGTTGTGGCTCCTTATC